CGGAAGCACGTTTTCATCAAAAAAAGATGGCGGCGCCAGCGCTTCCGGTGAGCTTTTCCGGGTAGAAAGCCATTTCTACCCGGAAAAGCTCACTGGAAGCGCTGGCGCCGCCATCTTTTTTGATGAAAAAGTGCTTCCGGTGAGGTCACCGGAAGCACTTTTTCATCAAAAAAAGATGGCGGCGCCCAGCTGATGCCGGTACCGGGCCGCGGCGCCCAGCTGATGCCGGTACCGGGCCGCGGCATAAAAAAGGTTGGGGATCACTGCTGTAAAGGAGTCAAGAAGAGAAAAGGGGTGTTTCCTGGTTCTGTTGCTCTTATCTTTCAGTCTTCCTATCAAATGTTAATTTGGCTTTTGTGGATGTTGTGTCCTGTCTTCTGGTAAAGAGCTCTCTCATTATGTCCCGTCCCTATGATAATATTATTATGTGTCTGTATATGTGAAAGGGCTCCATCTATCTGAAAGGATAGGGGGGCTGCTTTTCATCTAAATCACAAGATGGTGTGATGTCATATTTTGTTTGTTCTTCATGCCTAGGTTCTGTGTGCACTACTCGGATAAAAACTGGGGTTGGCTATCCTCAACTCAGCGCAGTAATTGAATGTGCAGATTCCGCTCACGGACTGCAAGGACATATCATTTCTGTAAGCAGGAGCTGTGTTAAATTCCATAAACGAAAACAACGAATCCAGAAGCAAAGTCCCAATCACTAGTAACCGAGGGAGATTTTTCTTGGATTATTTTTAAAAATTTCTATATTTTATTTTATAACTTAAAGAGTCCAGTTCCCAAGTCAAAGACATGATTCTGCTTGTAAAGATTTTGGATGTTTTCAAATATTTGTTCCCTCTTCTGTTGTGATTAGAAAAAACTAGAGGTAGTCATTGACTTGCCACCATTCATTTAGTGACACTTTGAGGCTACAGTGGCACTGAAAAAAGTGCCTTTCACATGTACGACGGTTGCAGCATTGCCATGGTCACCGGATCAAAATTTGGGCACTTGGAAACTGGCATGTACTTTTGACAGTTGCAGTGTTCTGGGATCATGTGATCACCATTTGTAAGCTTCCCAGCTGGCCTCCGATAAGCAAAGCCAATGGGGGAAGCCAGGTTCACTTAACTGCAGTGATTTCTCTTAACTGTGACAAAAAAGGTTGTAAAATGGGACGCAGCTCACTTAGCAACTGTCTTGCTTAGCAACGGGAATGTTGGACTCAAATTATAATCATAAATTGAGGGCTACCTGTACACTAATATAAATTGATTCTGGCATATTGAGAAACAGTAGCTCATTCTTGGTTTTCACCAGTTGCACCAACAAAGTGGTTTACGGGACAATCGCATGAAGAGTTCATTATCGTTGTCGTCACTCTTCAGTGCATATGTTTAGTAACAAAATATTCACACTTTGTGTGAAATGGAGTGAAGGAAAGGAGGGTAGATAAAGCACTCCCATCTCTGTGAATGTGTTCAGTGTACTTTGCGATGTTTTATATTGGTTTTGTCATCTCACCTAAGATCATTTTGAAAAAGCTACATATTTAATATCTTTCTGCCCATTCCAAAGGATGGAATGCCATGCTTAAATACATCCTTCATTTTCTAATTTGTACAGAGAAATTAGAATACAGACTTACAAAACACAGCAAAATAAATAAATAAATTAAAAAAACAGCTCATTAGTCAGTCCAGGGATATTCTGGAAGTGCCCTTGAATAGTGAAATACTAGGACATAATCAAACTCTCCCTCAATGCTTGACATCCTCCTTTGTTTTAGTGAGATTAAATGGGTGAAGGTGGGCATCTTCAATGCCCCCCCTTTTTTTGGGGGGAAAAAAATTCTCCATATCCACAGTAGTAATGCTGATGCCGGCTTGTGTGGACAAATATATTCTCATTAATGATTGGAGTAAAATTATACTTAAATCCCGTTTCCAGTACTCTTTAAGGAATCTGCATTCTACCCTGCCAAATCCTTTGAAGACAGACCAAATAGTAAATGGAATTTTAATCTGCATTTTTTTTGAAGGGTTGCTTTCAAGTGAGTGTTGATTCCTGGTGACTGCCTGACAAGTCCTTGAAATGTTCTTGGCAAGGATTTTTTTTCGGAAGTAGCTTGCCTGGACTCCTTCCTAGAGCTGAGAGCACATGACTGGCCCAAGGTCACCCAGCTAGCTTTCTAGCCTGAGGCCTTAACCACTATGCTCTGATAATGTGCTCAGTGTATTCTGCCACTTTCTTGTTCTTGTTTCTATAAATGCTTAGGCTGAATCCTTCTCCCAACACCAAGCTCAAATTGTCAGTATGTAGCAGGAACAAATGGAGTTGAATATCCTGACGTCTTCTCTTTTTTCCCATCCTTTCTTTAGGATGGAGGATGCAGCTGCCCAGGAGACGTGGCCAAAGCTTTTGGTGAGGACTGTCTGTTGCTGAAATATAGGAAATGCAACTTAAAATCATTCATTTAGTGACAGTGAAAGCACTGAAAAAAGTAACTTATGACTGTTTTTTACACAACTGTTGCAACATCTCCATGGCCGTAGGATCAAAATTCAGATGCTTGGCAACTGGTTTGTATTTATGACAATTGCAATGTCCCAGATCGTCTTTTGTGACATTCCAGCAAGCAAAGTCAGATTCACTTAACAGCCAGGTCACTAACTTTGCAATTGCAACGATTCACTTAACAGTTATGACCAGAAAAGCCATAAAATTGGGCAAGAACTCACTTAACAACTGTCTTGCTTAGCAACATAAATTTTGGGTTGAATTATGGTCACAAGTCCAGGAGTCCCGGTATATATAACCCTTGAATTGATAAGGAGATCGCATTTATTAATGCGGCCCTCTATTTAAACAATGTAAATGCTATTTTGTTTTGGCTTAATCCCTCCTCTCTTTTTCCTTCCTGCCACCCACAGGAGCTGGTGCTGATTTTGTGATGCTGGGGGGCATGTTTGCAGGACATGATCAATGTGCTGGAGATATTATAGAAAAAAATGGCAAAAAAGTGAAGCTTTTCTATGGCATGAGCTCTGACACCGCTATGAAGAAGCACGTAGGTGGTGTTGCCGACTACAGGTACCGCTCCCTTTCCAGCATAATATGCCAGGCCACTTCTTGAACTTCCGGTTTTCTTCATGTGGAATTGGCAGCAAACAGAAAGGCAATGTGCTCCACGTGGAGCTGCCTTTCAAAGCCATTCGGAAGCTATAGCTGGTCCAGAATGCAGCGGTGTGTATAGTAATGCATGTTGCCGAATGCAGAACCTGAATTTAGCGGACACCCAAGTTCAAGATGCTGGTTATCATCTATTGGGTCATGCCTGGCACAGAACCAGGTTACTTGCAGGACCACCACTGTCGTGTAGTCTTTTCCTGTCCCTGAGGTCAGAGTGGGCATGGTCCAAGTCCCTTCTTTGAAGCAAGATGACTTCAGGAAATAGGCCATTTCTCTGGCTAAGCCTGTCTTTTGAAATAAGCTCCTCCTGAAATTTGAGTGGCTCTGACCTCGCTGGTTGTTCATACAGCTCTAAAGACCTGGCTTTTCTCCCATGCCCTGGGCCAGGCTGTTAGATGAGCTTGTTCTATGACAAGAGCATGTGTTCTTATTTCCAGGATTATATGTTGGATTAGAGTTGACTTTGTTGTTTAACTATGTTTTTGCATAGTATTTACTTTCTTTGATTCTGAAAAGGGTGGCTTTACTAATTGAATCAAATAACAGACAAGATTTTATTGTTGGAGGAAGTTTAAATGATGGGCAAAATATGATCGAATCCCCGCCCCTTTTATATGTCTGGCATAATGTAGGTTAAAAAGGGGGGGTGGAAATTCAACCATATGGTTGACTTGATTTATTGCTACTACTCCCACCATCACCCAGATGACAAATGCTTGGCTAGTTGCAGATGTGCAGTCACACTAACAATCAGTTGGAAGCTTACTTGAAAATGTCATCACACCTCCTGTCATCTCAAATTTAGGTTCTGACAACATGGAATATGCATGGTAGTCACAATCCGAAACAAAGTTGGGGTGATTTCATTGGGCTTAGTTGTTCTAGAGTGGGCAGCTCTATAGGTACTAGTGTGGCAGGAGCATTTAAAGTCAAGACTATTCGAGATTAGGATGCTGTGGGACTTTCTCCTCCACGTTATTTAAGATACATATGAAACCATTGGGAGGCATCTGTTGATTTGAGGCAAATTAACATTTGGGAAATAAACACATTTCTCTAATAAATTAATATGTAAATAATTCTTATAATTGAACAATGAAACCGCATCTTTGAAGGGTTAAAATATGCTTACAAGTATATTGTGAGGATTTTCATAAGACGCAAATGGGTGCTAATTCTCTGTGTTTAATAAATAGCCTCATACAAACTCATGCACACGCTATCTAGATTAATAGTAAGTGCAGTGAAGAATGTCTATGGTTACCTTCCAGATGGCTTTATTTCAGATTGCAATACAAGCAAATATATCTGTGTTTGGATAAAATAGCATTTGGAAATAGCATTTAAGATTATACATCATAGTGCTTTACAGCATTCTCTGGGCAGTTTACAATGCCAGCATATTTTTCCCAACAACCTGAGCCCTCATTTTATAGGCCTCGAAGGGATGGAAGGCTAAGTCAACCTTGAGCTGCATCAAGATCGAACTCCAGGCTGTGGGCAGAGTTTGCCTGCAACGCTGCACTTTAACCACTGTGCTACCAGGGCTCCGTATTTTAATAATATGTTTTAATAGTTTTAATTCCAGAAAAGGCAGCCCAACAATGCAAGTGAAATTATTTTCCTTTTCAGAGCTTCGGAGGGTAAAACAGTGGAAGTCCCCTACAGAGGAGATGTAGAAAATACTGTTCGTGACATCCTGGGTGGTCTCCGTTCTGCTTGCACGTATGTGGGAGCTGCCAAACTCAAAGAGCTTAGTCGAAGGACAACCTTTATTCGGGTAACTCAGCAACACAACACAACCTTTTCTTAACCAAAGAAGAAAACCCCAGGCCTTTGGAGATGTGAAATTTGCTACGTTCTGTTTCTCCTCCACTTTTTTTTTTTTTTTGCAGGATGGGGAGGTGATTATATTCCAAACTAGGAAAGAAGCAGGTTGCTTAATGCCATTGATTGTTTGTAATGGTTGGGGCTGGGCCTAATGAGAACAAGCCTTGAACTGCTTCTGGGTCCACGATTTGTTCAGATTGTTCAGTGGTATTTTTATATCCTTGTCTATTTAAGTTAAGAAATCTAGATTGATCTTTCGGAACAACCGATCAGAGGGACTTAGATGTCCATTCGCAAAGTATTTGTCTGTTGGATCTGCCATTACCAGAAAAAGCAAAGCCGTTCACAGGATTTTATATTTCAAGTTTCAACTGCTCTTGCAATGGGTGATGAAAGTCAGAAGAATGGGAAAGCAACTCCAAAGCCCAGAAAACCCTCACTGCATGGATACTGCTCCAGCATGTCATCTTGGAATAGCACTTACAGAATAAAACAAATAATCCTGTTTTATTTTCACAGAGGCATCAAGTGCTCAATTTTTAACGTGTGCTGATTATTATAATAACCATCATAAGTTCTTAAAATGGTTGATTAAATAGTTACACTCCCTTTATTGTAATGCTTTGTTGGTGGTGGGGGGATATATTTCGACATTGCAAATGGAGCTACTCTTTGTTCATTCAGTTCATTTTAAAGATGAAAGAGGTAAGCCCTAATGATGGTTAATTATTTTTTTTTCCAATGCCTTTGGGCAAAGACAAGAGAAGCACTGCCATTCCACAGCTGAGCCTATGTGCAAAGCCAAATTAAAACAAAAACCACCATTCATTAAAAAAAAATCTGTTTTCAAAAGAACTGTTTTCAAAAACTACAAAACAAGACCTAGAAAGATTTCTCTGCAAATTGAACAATCTGAAATATTGATTGATTAGCTCCAGTCAAACTCAATTTGTAAGCATTAGGTGGGAAAATCAGGTTTTTCTCATCAGGCCCTCTCATGTGCACCTCTTATTTTCTTGTGTACTGCACTGCATTCATGTCTATTAAAGAAGATTCGACATCTTCTGTTACAAAATTGCTGAAGTCGGGTCAAGACTAGTCTCCTTTATTGTCATTAACAGGGTGGATGGGTGGGGTCTAATTTCTGTGAGTCACCGCCAGCTTTTCTTAGAAATATCAATTTTAATCAAGTAGAATACATGGGCATAGTAGAGAGGCAAGGGATATATGGCAAGGGAACAATTGAATAGAATAAGGAACTATCCCTCATTCAGTGATCGTTTTATGTAGACAGATAATCTAGCCAAGAAATAGGCATATTATCACAGAAGAGCAGAATGATTTGGAATTATCACTGATACTCTGATACTTTTGTAATCAAATCAGAATTACAAGGATTTCTCTGCCAATAATAGTTCCCATTATTGTTTCTGAGAGCCTGTTGGTGGGATTAGATTATTTTAATCCATGAGGCTAGTTTCTCATAACCAGGACTACTTATTACAGTCCTCTCCTCATCATGAATGTTCTAGATCTGTTCCAGAGTCTTCTGGAACAGATTTGGGAGAAACTACATGATGGTCTGAATCTGTTCCACTCGTGAAATGATATTGTTGATATTAAGAGAGATGTCTTCAAAGGAGAACTTTACCCAAGGCAGCAGGGCTACGATCCACTTTTTGTCACTGGACCTTTAAGTAATCAAATATTTTGTTTGGATCGAACTTGGATTTGTTTGCAGTCATCCCCTTGCACACATAGATTACACACTGGTTTAGAACTCGTGCAATTAGGACTGCTTTGGAAGTGATTCAGAAGAAATGTTTCAAACTCCATGAACAGGTATGAGTGTAAAGAAGTGGCTGCTTCAAGAATCATCTTAACAATGTTTTAAAAGGACCATCTTATTTGGCATCACATGGAAGCCTGAAAAAAGACACGCTAAAGTAATAAATAGAGATGTGTTCTGGTTGTGCAAGATCTAGATCTCATTTTCCATATCACTATTGTAGTATACACAACCAATCCATTATATGACAAATTTTTTTCATAATTTTATGAGGCAGTTTTTATGAGGCAGGAACTTGATGTATGCAGAGGAGATTCACTATAACAATCCTGAAGCTGCATATATACAAAGTAGTTTTACTGCAAGTAAAGTTCCTTACTTTTTAAAAATACCCTATAGGTCACACTCACGTCACATTGCCATCACGTGATGTTTCGTGACATTTTTGCCATTTGCAGCACTGGGGTGGATGGGGCTCATCCAGCCTGCGGGCTACCAGTTTGACACCCCTGCTATAGAGTCTTACTATATCATTGGTTGTTTTTTTTCAAAGTCCAAGTAAAATTTGAGTAATTGGTAATTAAAGTGTAACGTATAAGTTGTGATACCTATATTTGGGAGTTTTGACATTTCTTTTCTGCCACCCAGTGGTTGTCTCAATTATTGCAGCCCAAATCTGGTAGCTGACAAGTTTATAACGAAATGGAACAACAAAACCAGCTACTGGTTGTTTTTAGAATAATTATGCATACATAAAGCCGTATAACTCTTCTTTTCCTTTGGGCTGATTTATATAGTATGTAGAAATATTTTAAAAAACCTTTGAATTGTGACATCTACTGGTATGTTGATTCCATCATTTATCTGTGGTGTCATTTTAGGTAAAGAAGCACCATATAAGAGAAGTGAAAAGCAGATTTACCTCCCGAGTAGCTAACTGTCTTTCAGGGATATGATTACTGAATGGCATTTTAAAACCAGTTTTCCCATTAAATGTGCCTACTTACTCCACTGTAGGCAGGCAGGTAGAATAAGCCTTGCCCCTAGCAAAATCAAAGCAAAAAACAAATCTCAGGTATATCCATGCAAGTAGAGGACGTGGTTAACATGTCCAGAAATAACAGATGCAGCTGCTTCTCAAATGTCCGGATACATTTTTAAAAATGCAATGTGGAATTATGTAATGACAGAAACCACAGCTCTCACTGGCATACAAGAATGAAAAGCTTGAATCGGATTCAAAGCGTTTCCATGATACAAAACAAGACTTGGAAAACCCTATTATGCTAAAATTAAAAATTACACTGGGTACTTATTTATTTCCAGGAAAAATAAAAAAACAGTGGTGACTATGAATTATTAAGTGACTTAAGTAATTCATTTAGGCAAACGTCTGTCACTTTACAATCCTTCTATATGAAGATGAGCTCTGGAAACCAAGCATTCGCCACGTGTATGTGTGAATCAAACCTGAGATTAATGACCTTGAGTAAGGCTGACCTTGAGTAAGGCTTTGGAAACAGGACTTTTTAGTCCGGCTATTTAATAGGGTTGAGTGTAATTGTTATAATACATTATAAGTTTGAGAAGTTTCATAATTGTGGCTCTTAAATGTTCAGTAAATGATGGGGGAAAGTGTTCGCTGTATTGAAAAATATTTGCCTTGGGCCAGTTCTTAGCAGCAAACAACTTTCATATAAATAGAAGGGCTATGTAATTTAAGTGGGACGTTCCCCCCCCCCCCCCGCCCCCGGACCATCTGGCCTCATTTTCTGAGTACAGAAAATTTAGCAGTTTAGCAACTGTTTGAAGTCACCATGGTGCTGAAAAAAGTGACTTTACAACTAGTCCTTGCACTTAATGACCATTGCCGCATGGTCATGTGATTGCCATCTGAAACCTTCCCAGTCAGCTTCTGATAAGCAAGGACAATGGGGAAGCCAGCAGGAAGTCGGGGTGATTTTTTGCTTAAAATGGTCCTGCGTGATTTGCTTCACGATGCAACTGAGACTGCTGAAATTCCTGTGATCAATTGGCACATTTACATTTCACTTAACAACCGCAACAAGAGTTGCTCATCCCAGTTAGGGTCATTAAATGAGGACTACCTGTACCAAGTACCTGCACTACACCCAAGGAGATGACTGCAACCACTTTATCTCAAACCTTGGAATTCTGACTTTTGGGATTTATTTGTGATAAATGCTCTAAAAACAATTTTTTGCCACTTCCAAAGTTTTCTTCATTTTAAGCATAACAGATCTTCACTATATAGTTTGAAAATGCTAGTAGAGTCAAGCAACTGAATAAAATGCTTCTACATCAACTATTTAATGTGGTTTGTAGAGAGAAAGCTAAAACTATGAAACTTTGCTAGGTATATTCAGAGCATAATATAAGCTGCACTGTTAAAAGTTACTTGGATTAGCTGGTAGCACAAGGCAAACTTGACAGTGCAATGAGTACTTGTATATTAGAAAGTTCATAAAATATGCATGTATTATGGATTTCTGCAACCTGTGAACAAAACTCGTCATAAAGTAAATCCTCGGAAAAACATTCATGTGGAAAAAAAAAAGATCTTTCAAAGAGGAACTACTACCAACCTCTTAAACACTACAAAGAACACTAATTTGCAATTGGCACTGTTATTTTATTAGTACGAGTATACTGAAACAATAAACTTGTACTGGTATACAGACAATTTATTTAAAACAATTTTGTTCAAATTTTGAATCAAACATTGTTTTATTATCATAATGAAATAATTTCTACCTAGAAAACCTGCAAGCACCATCAAAGAAAGGGACCATAAAATTCAATAAACAGATGCGAGTGTATCCTACAAATAGACACACCACGATTAGAAAATAGAATATGAATTCTTCCATTTTTTTTTCATATTTGTTTTAAAAAAAGCTAGTGCAAGTACAATATTTTACACTGGAATTACAGAGAGTATGCACGCATATGGAAAAAGTTCTTGTCACAATAAAAGCTCTTACCTATGTCGGTATGCAATTTCTCTTCTTATTCTATAAGGTGCGAAACGTTCCCTCCCTATTTCTCCTTTGTACTGGCCATGTCAGCCCAATATGACCTCAGCATAAAGCTATGGTGCCCCTTTCTCCAGGCCAACATCTGGCAGGACATTGAAAGTGTATTTTGTAGTTGTTTGAGTAAAAGAAATATGCACAGCATGAATTACGTATTGATTTGGGAAACATTCATCGAGAATTTGCTGGTTGCTCAAACCACTGATAAAATACTACCAAAATTGCAAGCAGGCTTTTGAAATTTGTCTATTTCACTTAATTATTTAAATGCTAGAGACAGAAAGGTGCGTTCTGATGTCATGCCTTATCTTTAAAACATTTTTAAGTCAAGATAAAGCTGTACATCTTCACAGAATTATGAGGCAAAAATCCTGAGATACAATAAAAACATGGGAGAAATGATCGATCAGCTAAGGAAATGCTTAGCATATTTACAAAACCCAACACTTTGAGGCATTTCAAGTACTTGAGGCCTATTCCCTGGGGTTAAATAGATGCAGAACAATTTGCAGTTTGAATTTAATCAAACAATTATCGTTTTTAAAAATATGAACATTTCCAAATTTTAACTTCTACCACCAATCACAGAGCCTCAATACATGTTACATTTGCATTTCTTTGGGAAGTAAATGGCTGCATTTACTGCATTCATTTTTGTCTCTTGGCTGGAAAAGGTTTATAGTCTAATTTTAAAATTAAACTAACTTCAGTTACAAAGAGATTAATTGCAAGAGGAAAAGTATACACCTCGGTAATTTTCAAAGA